ATCAGCAAAAGTGATCTTTTTGCCTGCAAAAGGTTCCTCCCATTAGAATCAAATGGTCATCAAAACCAGCAGAAAGCATATGATCATTAATTGATTCTCTCCTAACCCAGACTACCTAAAATATGGAACCATTTGAAACTACTTAAAATTTGAAAGCATATGCAACAAGTGAATTGTCTTTTAAACCAACCGACAGACGCACAACTAGAAAAGTTCTTGACTGAATTTCATAAAACTATCATAAACTCTATGATGTCATGCCACCTGATGAAAAAGCAGGCAAGTTGTCTGCATAATCCCCAAAGATCATCACATTTTGTTATAAATTTACCAGCAATGAATGAAGCACGACTACAAATTTAATTGAGGTATATTTCGCAAAACTACCATGAACTCTGAGATGCTATTGCAATAAATAGATTTCACCCAACAAGAAATCATGTTAGCTGTGTGCAAAATCCACAAAGATCATGGTAAGTTTTAAGAAATTGCCATCAATGGAAGAAGCACAGCTACAAAAGTAATTGAGGTAAATTTCACAAAACTACCATGAAATTCTGTGATGTTATACCAACATATAGTTTTCTCCAACTAAAAAAAGTATGGTAGTTGTGGCAAATCCCCAAGAATAACGGTAGTTTTTTTTAATAATTTACAAGCAATGAATGAACCAATACCACAAATGTAATTGAAATAAATTTCGCAAAACTGCCATGAACTTGGTGATGTATACCAACAAATAGTTGTCGAAGAACAACAATTATGGTAATTTTGCGCAAAACCCCCAAAGACATGGTAGTTTCTAGAAATTTACCGGGTAATTAAGAAGGGGGTGTTAGTCAATTGGGATATTTTGATGCAAATTGGGATAATTGTTAAAGCGGAATAATTTTTTACTAGTGGGATATTTTAGTGGGATAAATAGGAACAATTTTATGAAGCGGGATATTTTGATAAAATAACGTGAGATAAATTTTTATAATCATGAAATATATATTTATACATTTTGAAGATATAAATATTATTTATGTATTTTAAACTTACTATTATTGATTTATAATTGCTTATACAAGAACATTCTTTACTATTAAATAACTTTTCGTTAGACTATAAGATATTGACAATTATTATTATTATGATGGTCTAATGGTGATAACCATAATAGGAAAGAAGTAAAGATAAAAAAATAAAAAAAATAAAAAATAACAAAATAAATATGAGTTCTTGTTTTTTACCACCTAGTTCCAAGCTAAAACTTGGAATAATTTGAGAGACTAGAACTCTCATTTTTGTATAGAAAAATGAAAAAAGTGGGATAATTTTGTACCATTATCCCAATTCTAGTTTTATTAGAGTTCTACTTGACTAACACTGTAAAATTTTGTTCTAGTTTTAGTTCTATGTGACTAACACCTTAAAAATTTATCCCACATATTATCCCAGTTCTAATTTTAAGTTCTAGGTGACTAACCCCCCCGAAGAGAACTCTATAATTACACAAAAATATTTACCAGTGCTTACTGTAGACACACTCTGCCTATTGGGTGTTCCTCTGCCTCCACCACGCCCTCTGCCCCCTCCATCACGACCACCACGGCCCCTGCCACCTCCATCACGGCCACCACGACCTCCTCCAAACCTCCCTCGACTACCACTATCTCTACCTCCATCACGGCCACCACGACCTCCTCCAAACCTCCCTCGACTACCACTATCTCTACCTCCATCACGGCTATCTCCCCTCGGTTTAGCCCCGTCCACAGATAAAGAGTAGCCACCAAGGTCAGATCCATTTAGTTCCAAAGCCTGAGAAAAACTATCATGGTCTTGGAATTCAACATATGCAATTCTGGAATCAAAGACCCAACATTAGAAATGAAAAAAAAAATCGAATCTTCATATTTGAGTATGTAAAAATGTGCTGACCCCTTTGGAGCACCAGTTTCATAATCAGGTGGAATAGAAACACGGGAGATTTGCCCACATGATCCAAAATGCTCTTGGAGAGAACTCCTTATCTGATGTTTGGACAAAAAAATGAGATGAATTGCATAGACATGAAATTATGACTTAAAGCATAACTCTAAACGAGGGAAAATTACCTCATCCTCTCCAAGGGATTTATCAAATCCTCTTACATAAACTGTTTGACTCTGACGTTGTCCGCTTTTTTGGTAAGAAGTATTGTCCCTCCTACAATGCCCACTAAAGGTCAACAAAAAAGAGGTATTTCTTACGCATCAAATTTCACAGCAGGTGAAAATAGTTTTTTCAGGAAAAAACAGCTGGATTAAACAATATCAAAATCTTTCCAATGAACTTCGAATGAAAGCAACCTAGTCATACACAAATTTCATGGATATAGCCATATTTTATATGGACAGAACGGATAAGAGATAATCTGCTAAACACATTTAGAAAATACATTCTTAGACCATGAGAATAACGAGTAACAAAGACATACCCACTCTGTGGAGTGTATGCACCCCTCTCACGAGCAAAATCAAGCCTCACTCCACGTCCTAGTATCTCTTGACCATTCAGTTCATAGGCCTAAAGGAGAAGAAAAGAAGAGAGAGAGAAAAGAAGAGAAAGATAACTTCTTAGAGAGAGAAAAGAAGAGAAAGATAACTTCTTTGTGAAGCATGACTCACAAAAAGAAAGGTGGATACTTGGGTACAACTACCAATGTAGTAAATAAGTTTGCAAGATGATTAGTAGGTAACTTAATATAATTATATACAGAACAGATATTTGAGCTACACGTTCAGATTAATGATCTACAAGCATGAAGATTAATAAAAAAACAATCAACTGTTTTTTAATATCATCAAATAAAAACATAAAATTATAAGGTAAGGTAGCAAAAGTATATCACCTTCTGAGCATCTGCTTCAGTGGCAAATTCAACATGGCCAAATCCCCTGAAGCTACCATCCTCAGATGTAGCGAATCTAACATCAACAACTTCTCCTGCTTTCCCGAAAAACTCCGCTCTGAAAAGACAGATGAATAAATCAACTTAAAAGGCATAAACCAATTTGTAAAGCAAAGCATTAAAATATTTCAACAGTAAAACATACACTTCATCTTGCCCAACATTGAAGGATAAATTTCCAACAAAGAGCGTCTTTGATCCAGAAGTCTGGTTTTGTGAAGGAGTTTTGGGCTACATTCAAGAAATATCATTTTCAAAACATATATCTTCACAATAAGATAACGAAGAATAATTAGTGACAATATTACCTCCTTTCCGAAGCCTGTTGAAGTTTGTTTTCCAGCTGATGGTGCATCTTTCATCTTCACATCAGAGTCCTGCAAAACTTTTGAGTTATAGAGAAGGAAAAAATCTACAAAATAAAATTGCAAGAATTAATGGAAAGTACAAAATATATATCAAACTACATAAACACAAGTACAAGTAATGTAAGTAGGGGTGAAAAACGACTGAATCTAATCGAGTACTACAATATTCAAATTCGAATTGTCATTTTTCCTTATTTGAATTTGAATTCCACTCAAATACCAAGTCAGCATTTGAATTCGATTTGGTTGATATCTAGGAATTCAATAACTATTTCTGAATGTTCGAATAACACGGTGGCAAAACATAGCTCTGCCAACTAGTTGGTTTGGGGTTCGAACAACCCTTTTGGCATCATTTTATCATGTAAATTTGTTATTTAACTAAGTCTAATCCTTTAGTATAGAACAAACATCAATACTTTTAATTAAAAGCATTGTTCACAAACTTTTGAAAAAATAAATAGACAAAAACTACAATATTTCAAATAAGACTATTTTATATAATAATAATGAGTAGTTTTTAATCTAGTTATCATCGTAATTCATAATGTGGGAATCATTTTAGTATTAGATCTCTTTATTTATTTATTTATATAATAAGGCAACAAAAACATAGTTTCATACAAAACAAAAGTCTAGGCTCTATTTACTTGTGTTCTTAGATGGGGTATGGTTTATAAAAAAAAAATTGGATGAATAATAGTTGTATAAGTTAAATTCCTCAAAATAAACTGTAAAATATAATCAAATAATTTTTTAATCAACCAAATCGAATATGCTTTTGGTCAAATTTTATTTGTTTATATGAACCAAATACTAAAAATATCCATTTACTATTAAGTGAACTAGCAAATTCAAATATGACCATATATATATATATATAATATTATATATATATATATATATATATATATATATATATATATATATATAATATATATATATATATATATATATATATATATATATAGAGAAGAGAGAGAGAGAGAGCAAAACTTGTGTCAACTTAAGTGGATAGCAAAAAGTTATCCACCAAACTTTTTAGCCACTCATATTGCCTAGAGATCCTTGCATGATATGAAAAGTTTTTTATATTTTATAAATGAGTGGCTAGGAAGTTTGGTGGACATCACTTAAGTTGATAGGAGTCTCTCTCTCTCTCTCTCTTCTCTCTCTCTCTCTCCTATATATTATATATAATATATATATATATATAATATATATATATATATATATATATATATATGTGTGTGTGTGTGTGTGTGAACCAAATTAAGTTAATAAATAATTGGTATTTTATATATATATATATATATATATATATATATATATATATATATATATATATATATATATATATATATATATATATATATATATATATATAATAACCGAATTATCTATTAATTATTTGGTTCACTTCCACCTCTAAATGTAAATCTCACCCAACAATCTCAATATAAGGTGCTAATAAACGATAAGGGTGGCAACAAGTGGGTAGATGTCTCATGGTCAGGTAGGATAAATTGATTTGAGTTATATATATTAGATCAATACTTCTTCAGACCTAATCACGAGGGTATTGGAGGAAGAGGATTTGATCTAGTCTATGTTGGCTTTTTTTTGGAGTCATATTACATTGGTACAGTTGGGTATAGGGCAGACAAGGCGGGAACAGCTAGAATTTTCTCTACAGTGAAGATGTCCAGCAAGTCTCCAGTTCTCTTATACAAAAAAAATTATCTACTTTCAATATGCAATTGACATCTTGCGGAGAGACCAATACTAGGTAAGATACATCCACCAACTCATAGAATACTGACAGTAAATCAAGGGATAAAATATTATATTTTCACGCTGTTGGATCAAAAAGTTTGAACGGTTAACTGACCCAACATTTTGTTTGATTCTGCTTGTTAGACTAAATTTTCTATAGAAAATCCCTATAGATGTTGTTTTTATGTAGTTTTATCTTATTAAATTACTTTTTTAGGAAGACAAGACCAGCATCAAATAAAATTTATCACCTTCTTTGGTGTCTTTGCTGGCTCTTTATCTTCAGATTCCTCTTCTGATGATTCCTCAGAACTTTCATCCTCATCACTGTCGCTATCTTTCTCGGTTTTCTTTGACTTGTTCAAATTCGAAGAAACAGGAGTCTAATATAATACCAGTGTTAGTTTTCTTTTCAAGAAAACAAAAGTATTAATTTGGGAATTAAGTCCATTATGTACCTGAACTTTCAATTTCTTTTTCCGTGGCTCTTCATCACTCTCATCAGAACTCTCTTTAGGCTTCAGTGTAGCCTTCTTCTGCAAGTTAGACAAGCATCAATAAAGCAAATATGATCACACATTAGATCTATCAAAAAAATTCACCATTATGTTCTTCTGTGCTTTTGGAGGCTCATCATCTGAGCTATCATCTTCGTCTTCATCACTGCTGCTCTCCTTGACTGCTTTTGAAGTGGGCTTGCCACCAGCAACAGGAGAAGGAACCTATAAGATGAATAGTGTCAAGGAACAATAAGCAAAACCATAAACAATAAGCAGAACCATAAACCAAAGCCTCCTCATGACTAACCACATATGCGGCCAATTATTCACGAACTAGGTCCCAACTAGCCAAGATAATTGAGGAAGCAATGTTTTCAGTCTTTTTTAACTAAGTATATGGAACGGATACCCAGAAGCAACTAAAGTCAAACACATGCCAAAGTTAAACTTCCATTATTCAAGAAAAAAATCAAAACATGTGATTCGTTGTTATATTTACACAGAATTCTATTTTCGTAGTAAAGAAAAAGAAACTTAAAAAAATATTGAAGAAACTTACAATCTATGCATTTCAAAATTCTCAAAGCACAACTGATCATCATATTTATAACCTCGCATCATATGACCATCTCTCTAGAGAATATAACATTAATTGAGCGATGGCCCATGGAAAAAGAATCCCAAGAGTTCGTTTCTTGTGTTTATTTTACTATTTCTCTACCTTAGGATTGTTTCTAGTCACTTTAGTTATTAGATTGACAATGTAATTTATTTATCTTATGTAACTAACAGCACAGAAGAAATAACCAAAACAGTGCCCTGAATCGCTTGAATTTCCAATAAGATGCAACCAGGCTCTTGACATCACTTATGCTGCCTCACAGTGAACTTACTACATTTAAATGAACCAAAAAGTACCTTTAACAAACTATCCAAAATATTCAGCAGCTGTCCTGTTTTCATTAGTTTTTAGAAAAGAGATGAAGTCAACAGGCATTATGAGTCAAAATAATCTCAGTGACCACAAAACTAAAACTTCCCGACTTATATACAGTTGCTAAACTTAGATATACTCGACAACAGTAAACCATTACCGTCTCACCCACAAAAGAATATATCTGATATTGCATGATTTGTTAACAAAAACACAAACTTGATCTCCAAACAAAGAAATCAATATACAATGAAATTTGCTGAAGTTAAGCAATGCAGTTTGAGACTTACCTTTTTCTTATCTGAGTCTGAATCAGATTCACTTTCTGAGCTATCACTTGACTCGCTATCACTTAATTTTACGGGCTTTTTCGAACCATTAGTGGAAGCCAGTTTTGATGTAGTCGTAGTGGCTTTAGCTGTTGCTGAAGGTTTAGAACCTCCAACCTGCATTGATCATTGAGTGCATTACTTCAACTATGATTTTGCGTATGGAACATTAAAAAGAATAATCTAATAACTCATTTTCCTTGCAAACTCTAAAGCATAAACCAGAGCTTCATCTTGATTAAATATACAAACAAGAATGACTCAGAAAAGAACATGCTAGCATTGCTTTCTGAGTCACTCTTATAGTTTTCACTGATCCTCGTATTAAATATCTCAAGCTACACAAGCATTTTTGACAATGTTGCCTTATTTCCTTTAGCAAAAATTGCTAACGAAATTATACAAAAAAAAAAAGAATAAGCGAAAGTATACGAAATTTCATCAGCGTAACTTTCCAAAGACCGATTTTACATCATCAGGAATATGTTTCTTTTCGGTAATAGCATTTTTCCACAAGCAATAGATAACATCAACTCAGGAAAATACAAATTCTGTCTGACATGTTAAATGAAATACATACATTTAAGTTCTTCTCATAAGAGTTCTATCGGTGAAGGGTAAGAGAAAAATAAGACAACAATAATTAGCATCATGTCATCTAAGCATTTAAAAAACATAATAAAGACATGGCAGCCACACCTTTTCATCCACATCTGAATCACTCTCAGAAGAGCTATCACTCGAATCTGACTTCTTCAGAGCTGTAGCAGGTTTCTTTTGGGAAACAGCAGGTTTCTGTGTGACAATACTAAATGAAGATTAGAACCATCCGAGTACATATATATATATATATATATATATATATATAGAACAGATCACGATACTGAAATTCGAGAAACTAACAAACTTATCATTTGTATATAGGAGTTCAATCAGTGAAGTGTAGCCACACCTTTTCATCCACATCTGAATCACTCTCAGAAGAGCTATCACTTGAATCTGACTTTTTGGAAGTTGTAGTAGGTTTCTTCTGGGAAACACCAGGTTTCTGTGTGACAATACTATATGAAGATTAGAACCATCCTAGTATATATGTTAAACAGATACCATTACTGAAGCTCTAGAAACTAACAAATTTGTCTTTTGTATATAGGAGTTCAATCAATGAAGTATAGCCACACCTTTTCATCCACATCTGAATCACTCTCAGAAGAGCTATCACTCGAATCTGACTTCTTTGGAGTTGAGGCAGGTTTGTTTTGGGAAAGAGCAGGTTTCTGTGTGACAATACTAAATGAAGATTAGAACCAACCAAGTATATATATTAAACAGATCCCACAATTGAAATTCTAGAAACTAACAACTTCATTATTTGAATATAGAAGTTCAATCAGCAAAGTGTAAAGAGTAAAATAAAGACAATTAGCATCATGTCAATTAAGCAATTGGAAACACAATAAATACTTGGCAGCCACACC